TAGAAGTCTGGAACCAAACTCGCATTATCTCCAAGGTAAGCCTGTATCTCTGACGGAAATTTTTAAAAATCAGAATAAAGAAATGATAGTGCCCTTTGTTCTTTTAGAGAAAATTATATAATACAATGTGAAAGTAAATGTGTTACTTACCTGCATTAAATCTGTAAGAAACACATTCTTAGAGGATGTATTTTTTTTCCAACAAGCCTAACACATTACACAGAATTTGATATGACATAACAAGTCCATCCAGGCCTAGGCTTATTCAGCTAAACATGACTTTTAGGGTTACCTGAACTAAACAAAATCCTCAGACAGCTTAAATGATACAAAACATAGAAGCAAGAGAGGTTTGATAGTTCAACTGAGTTAGAAACAAACATTTTAAAAAAACCCAAATATACACGTCATTGAATAATGATAACTTCTTTATAATCAATTTAGGTCTGTAACAGATACAAATGACACTGATGATATGAACATGAATAAAATTAAAAGCCCATAGTTATTTTCATTAGCTGTCCATAAGGCATTTAACCATTAAAATTTATGGAGACTCTATCCTGAAAAGCTTTCTAGATTTTCCTTAGAAAAATGGCCAATATTTTCTCCCATCAATGCAGAGTTAATTTTAGAACATAAGATTTATGGAACAATGACCAAATTCTGAGGGAAAACCAAAGTGGAGATTCAGTTTTACAAAAGTAAGAGGTTATTCTGGGCTTTATTTTCAATTAAAAGAAACATGAAATCATGAAGTAAGCAGAAAAACAATTCATTAACTTGCCTCAACTGCTTATTTTACTATGAACCTCAGCTCACCTAGGGATACCTCAGTAGTATGAGAATTAATAAGAGAAGGAATAACAGAATGATCTTTTTTTTTGCAAGATACCTGAGGACAACACATCAAGCATTTCCATTAATCCTGTCACCTTTATTGTAACAGGACTGCATGAAGACAGCCAAGAGAATACAGGCACACCTCGTTTTATTGCGCTTTGCAGATATTGCATTTTTTTTTAACAAATTGAAGGCCTGTGGCAACCCTGCATCAAGGAAGCCTACTGGCACCAGTTTTCCAACAGCATTTGCTCACTTCCATTCTCTGTGTTACATTTTGGTAATTCAAAATATTTCAAACTTTTTCATTATTATTATATTTGTTATGGTGATCTGTGATCAGTGATCTTTGATGTTACTACTATGACTTGCTGAAGCCTCAGATGATGGTTAGCATTTTTTTTAACAATAAAGCATTTTTAATTAAGGTATGTACATTGTTTTTCCAGACATAATACTATTGCACACTTAACAGACTACAATATAGGATAAACTTTTTTTTTAAACATAACTTTTATATGCACTGCGAAACCAAAAAATTCGTGTGACTTGCTTTATTGCAATATTCACTTTATTGCGGTGGTCTGGAACCGAACCTGCAATATCTTCCAGGCATGCCTGCATAAGAAACATCTATAAGCATGATAATCTTCAGTCCATATATGTATCAATTTATTGTTCCGCTGCTTGTGCTCATGTTTGTTATCATTAATCTCCTCTGATGCGATGTCAGCATCATGAAAGAAAGAGTTTAGGGTGAGAAGAGCTATTACTGAAAGGATAAGTTTCTCTGGTCAAACATTTAAAACAATGAAATAGCAAACCAAGCAGTATTTTCAAGGCTGCCTGTTTAAAGGATTTCTTAGCCATTCAAAACAACTAGTTATCCTTATTTTGGCAATAAAACTTTGAAATAAAGAATATAATATTATTACAGATTACAAAAATGCCAGATCAGATGTGACTACTGTATTCAGAATACCTCTGCTAAGTCTTTATATTTTGTTTAGTGTTGCTTACACTAAGTAAATGATAGAAAGGTTTACACAAAGTAAATAATAATATTTTTTTTAATAAGCATTCCTATGACCTTTGAAGTTTGTGGTTTCTTCTGTCTCACAAACTAACAGTAAGCTTCTTTGGGGCAAGAGCTACAAAATCCATCTATTTCCATGAATTTTCTGAATGAGGTATTTCATTAAATTTTGTATCCCGGCCGCTTATCATAGACCAGGTACAGATAAATACTACAAAAAATACTGCATATATAGAATGAATAATTTCTTACAACACATACAGTTGTAGCCTCACTTCAGTCTCAATCCCATTTTCCACCTTGCCAATGGACACATTTTTTTTCTGAAAGCACCACTTTGTTACTGCCATGCCACAAACCCTTTCATGGCTTTGCATTGTCATTTGGATAAAATAAAAACTCCTTAGGACAAAATCCTCTTGATCTGGCTCCAGACTACCACTTTTACATCTGGCCTTCTACCTCCACCTCTCCCATAACCTCCCAGGCATAGGAACTGGCGTTCTGCTGCCTCCAAGCCTGGACATGCAGAGTTCCCTACATTTGGACGGCCCTTCCCCCAACACTCCTCCTTTGACCTGTCTAAATGCCACCTACTCTAAGAAGCCTCTGCCTAACTCCCATCTTGGTTAGCTGGCCTCCCCACACAGTACTTCTAGGAAAGAACAGAAATTTGCTTCTCTGAGAACAGTGGTTATCAAGTAGGACAGAAAACTCTAGTGTAAGTTGGAGGGGGTAATTTCTGGGGTTAGGATGATCAAAGGAACATGTGAATTTGGATAAAATTTAAGAGCCTCTACAAACATTAGAAATACCTAATTTTTTAATTTGGGGATTTATGAAGGTCACAGGTTATATTCCTTGTGAAAATCTAGGGTGTGAAATACTATTATAATGCCTATATCTTTCTCATATTCTAGCTGACTCTGTACCATATTAATAACAATAATGTAAATACAAAACAGTCTACTAAAACAATATCCAATATTAACATGTGTTTATAAATTTCTGTCCCCTCAGAAGTAACTCTCTCTAACACTGTTTGGATTTGAGTGTATTATTCATGTCATGTATCTTAATTAACTTTAATACCTTTTCCCAAGTGGAATGATAGTATACTAAATTTTGTTGGTATAGGATGTGTTCTGTGAGAACTGAAAGCTGATAGACACACAGGTCACCGTAGAATTACTATTCTTGGTCTCAACTTCATTAGGATTTAGTAGAGACTCTAGGAGTCAAAAGCAAATGTAGGGAGACAGAAGGATAAAAGGAAATCAAAGGAGCTCTGATTGGGATAGTATAAAGGGAGGTTGGGACAAAAATATCTAGAAGACAGATTTTAAGCAGTAGAGATTCTCCTGCTAACCTTGCAGAAGCAAACATGTGAACTGCCTAGGGAGGAGGTCATGTGGCAAGGACCTGAGGGCTTCTAGGAGCTGAAGGCACTCCCCAGGAAACATCAAACAAGAAAGCAAGAATGTCAGTCCTACATCCACAAGGAAGTGAATATTGCTAACAACCAGTTAACTTGTAAGAGAACCTTAAGCCTGAGGCAAGATCACAGGCCCAGCTGAAATCTTGATTTTAGTATGTGAAACATTGATCAGAGATCTCAGCTAAGCTGTGTTTTGACTCCTGAACCACAGAAACTATGAGATAGTATATTTGCATTGTTTTAAGCCACTGACCTTTTGGTAATTTGTGAAATAGAAACAGGAAATGAATTCATCATACTTTTTTTTTTTTGCGGTACGCGGGCCTCTCACCGTTGTGACCTCTCCTGTTGTGGAGTACAGGCTCAGCGGCCATGGCTCACGGTAGCCGCTCCGAAGCATGTGGGATCTTCCCGGACTGGGGCACGAACCCATGTCCCCTGCATTGGCAGGCGGACTCTCAACCACTGCGCCACCAGGGAAGCCCTCATCATACTTTAAAAGCAAGAAAATATTGCTCTTACATCTGTCTACTTACAAATATCATCTACATTTTACATCCAACATTTGTTTTTCAAACAATGCATTATCTTTTATTTGTCATCTAACAAAAGATTCCACTTTCATGAAATCTGTAAACTTCAAATTTATTATAAAAGCATTTTATCTCTGAGCTTAAATTTAATTTGAAATATATCTGAAAGAGAAAACTAAATCTAAAAGAATATTTCCCTAACTTTTTGGAATCATATATTAAAATCTTACAATTCTAGAAAATATTTATCATATTCCATACTTCAATTAAAAAATAAACATTTAACATGATTATATCTCTTTCAGTATTATATTAATCACTAAAATATATCATACTAAGAAATATATCACAATGTGGGAGCATACTTACTCCCTGTGCTCATTTAATCCTAACCATAACCACATATTTTCATACAATGTGTAATATGTAGAGAAAAAAGAGACCAATTTCACAATCAAAAAAGTTATATAAAATTATATAGTAATTTCTCCAACATAACAATATGTTTTCATAGCTAAATCTGTCATCTAGTAAACTGAGGGAAAGA